AGATTGTAACACATTGTTGGTGATCATTAAATTTAATTGATAGTGATGTTTGTTAAGCAGGCTGTTAAAATAGAAGAAAGTTTTAACTTTAGTATAAAAAATAATCAACTATAGGGTAGAACTGTTTATAGCAAATGTTGGAAATGTAATAAGAGACAAAAATATAGCTAATTGATTGTGAGTGTGAGTTTTGAAGCCTCATTGTCTACATATGAATGCTGACTGCCATTTTCTAGCTCCATGAATACAGAGAAAAGGCTATGGTTAACACTGGTTTCATTTAAATCATACTTCTTAGGTAATTGAAATAATTTAAGTGTGATTCTGTCTTTTGAGAGCCTCATATTTCTAATTTTCTATTCTACATCTATATCTAGATAACTTATAAGCTTCTCAAATTTAAAGAGTTTAAACAGAAGTCTTGATCTACCTATAATTCCTAGCTGTTCTCACCACTGTTATTCAAATTAGTAGGTGGCAACACTGCTCAACTCATTGATAGCACTAAAAACCTAGGAATTATTTATTAAACTTAATTTTTCCCCTCAATCTAAACATCTAGTATATCAGCATATATCATAGGCTCTGCATTCCAAATATATCTCAAAAGTAACCTTTACTCACTATAGTCACCATTTTTGATCCAGGTCAATCTATTTTTATCTCTTGCCTGGACAACTGCTAGCTTCCAACTGGTATCCTAGCTTTCATTCTTTCCTCCACTCCATACTTCCTTAAGAGTCTATTATCTACATAGCATCAATGTAATCTTTTCATATTATGAATCAAACCATATCATTTTCTTATTCTGAATAATAAATATTATAAGGCCTTCCCATCACTGTCAGCATTTATTCCAAATTCAACAACAAACAAAAAAACAAGCAAATCATCCTACAAGATATTGTCTCTGGCCATATCTATGACCTCACTTCTATCCACTGATGACCTGCCCTTTTTCTCTTTATCCACACTGCCAATCTCACTGTTGCTCAAATATACAAAGCATATTCCTGCTTCAGGGCCTTTGTATTACCATTGTGTTTGCCTTAAATGTTCATTTCTCAGAAATTCAGATCAATTTAGATTCCTAATCAGAGAAAACTTTCCTGGCCACTTTCTCCCAAAGAGCCTTTCATGTTTTTACTTAGTATTTATCTTGTAAACTTGTGTCTTTAAAACACTTATTGCTAATTGTTATTAATTAATAATTCTGGATCCTATACTAAAGTACAAGCTATGTGATGGTAGAGACTGCCTACTTGGTTGACTAGTTTATTCCCAGCACTTAACATTGGTTGTGTGAAGACAGAGAGGGCTTCACAATGTCTATAGAAAAGTAGATGACCACATTCTACATATAGCTCTGATTTGAAAGATTTTATTAGCATTATTTTCCTCAAATATAGATTTAGAAGGAAAAAATTTATTTTTAAAAAGTTATAAAGTTTTGTAGAAGTAACTATAATCATCTTGGAACATATTAAGTTTTAATAAATATTAGTGAGTAAGTCACTATGCTATTCATGGTAAGCACTCAATACATATTTGACAGATCAATGATTAAGAGAATAAGAGAAGCACTGGTAAAATAAGTAAACTATATTGACCACAAAATTAAGAATAAAATATGCAAAATTTAAAGTTTAGTAAAGAAAAGAAAAGCTAAATCTTTGAAATATCAATATCTTTTAGTGTAATCAAGCAGTTTTGGAAAAGAAATGTCCAACAATTCAAGAGATGTTTTGTTTTGATTCAATTTTCTTGTAACAAACAATATTATCAGAAAGACCAGGGGAGGGATAGTAATATATTAGTTAGAGCAATACTAGTTGCTATAACAATAACCTCCAAATTTTATTTATATTTATTTTGTTAACCTCTAGATTCACATAATATAAATTTATTTTTTATTCACATGAACTGCAAGTGAGTGTTTCTGATTTCACATATTCTCCTTTATATAGAGATTTGGAGACCTGGGCTACTTTCTTCTTGTGGCTTCCCTTCTTTACAATGTGTCTTCAGGGGTCATCCATATAGGGAAGAGACTGGAGGTCACACATAGTAGATCTTTTGGATCAATTAGAAAATGGCATGTTTGCCTGGCCAGTGTGGCTCAGTGGTTGAGCATGGACCCATGCACCAAGAAGTAACCGGTTTGATTCCCAGTCAGGGCACATGCCCAGGCTGTGTACCAAATCCCCGGTGAAGGGCATGCAGGAGGCAGCCAATAGATGTTCTCTCTCTCTGATATTTCTATCTCTCTCTCCCTTTCCCTTCCTCTATCTTTAAAATAAATGAAGAAAAAAAATTTTTTTAAAGAAAATAGCATATTTCATGACCATTCACATTTTAATGGTTAGAAGTAAATTGCATGGTCACACACAAGAGTGACTGAGACATAGTCCAAGAAGAAGAAATAGAATTATTGAACATGTAGTAAGCTTTGCCATGCAGTTTGGGATTTAGCTGAGGAAAAATATAGAAGTTTGTCTAGCATAAATTGTGTTGCCACATATTTTTGTACAAGGATGGACAAAAGTGACATTCTTTTGAGTTAATAGAGCTACTGTAATAATCATAGCCTGCATGTCTTTCCCCCTACAAACCACTGTATACCTACTTTTGCTCACCCCATATGTAAATATAGGGGTTGGTAAAAGTACAGTTTTAGTTATGAGTATGAAAAACATAGAGTATATTCTCATGTTATTATTTATTAGTTATTTTATTATTTATTTGTATTATGTAAACCTACTTTTGCCCACCCCTGTATAATGCCAACACAATTATTTGAGTTGCTAATACTTGGTAATATAACAAGATATTTTTTATCAAGCTCAAAATTAAGAAAATAAATTAACCTTTGAAAGTTAAACTCTTAAGGACAGCTCATCATGGATGTGAGCCTAAGCATGCAACATAGGAAAGAGAAAGTATGACTGCTGGAATTACTCATCACCTGGAAGAATGACTGTATTAACATATACAATGACACAATAGTTGACACTGTTAAAGAACATATCAGAATCATAGAGACAAATGTTGGCAGTGTCAATGTAAAGTTGTGTAAAGGATAGTTTTAATCAGTGTACATAAGTATTCCAGATTATTCTATTTATTTTTAATCTGTTTTTTTTTCTTTATTGATTTTAGAGAGAGAAGAAGGGAGAGGGAGAGAGAAATAGAAACATCAATGAGAAAGAACATCAATTGGCCTCCTCCTGCACACCCCCCACTGGAGATTGGGCCTGCAACCTGGGCATGTGCCCTGACCGGGAATCAAACCAGCAACCTCTCGGTTTATGTGTCAATGCCCAACTAGTAAACCACATGAGCCAGGCCAGATTATTCTTATAACAATATTTTAGCCTGATATCATTAAGCATTCAAATCACCTAGTGTTACACGTTCTGGTCTGATGCACATCAAGGAAACCTGTGATTTTTGTGTGTAGCTGTGCTGACACAGAGAGAACTTGTTGATTATGAGGCCTTTGAAGATCCCTTAACCCCATGATAGGGATTTCTCTAGGTAATTAATAGCTTCTGATGATGATTCAGTGGAAAAATGCTGACCATGACATGTAAATATTTATGAGCCGTAAAACAGCTATGTTTTCACTGTAAGCTAATATATTGACATTCTGGTCTCTGTTCTAGTTTCCTGTGCATTTTCATTAATCTGTCCTCTTTCCAGGGCTTCTACTTACCCTGGACTGGAGAAAAGGACAAATCTCTTGGTCTTTCAAGTTTGGAATCATAATACATATAATTTTCTTGCTGTGTCTTCTATCACTTCTACCTTCACTTTTTACTTTTTCTATATGTTAAATGTTTTAACCAGTTATATAACATCAAGAATCCTATGACCTTCATAAATACTTTCAGATATGATCTGAACGTGAATACAGAATATTTAACTGTGAAACAAAAAAAGAAAAAGGATATCTAAAGCAAAATTTGCATTTTGTGCAAATTAGATACAATCTTGAACAAATACTAGAGCAGTGAAGCCAGATAACTGTTGAACATATCGTTAGAGTTAGAACATGAGAATGTATTTGTATTTTAAAATAAGATTTGAATTGTATTTTTCTAAACTTTAAATATTTCAAATAGTATACTAATTTCTAACTCTTCATTTAAAGGAGAATCCCCTGATCCTTTTGCACTTATTTATGCATGCATCAAAATTCTCTTTCCTGTAAGCTAAAAATAATTTTTTTATGTAGAAGTTATTTTATAAGTACATAGCAGAAATAAGCTAGTCACATCAAACTAAAACATATAAGGAACATTGCTTGTAAGTTCATACAAATTAAAATGCTTCAAACAAACATCATAAGAAAACGTGTTTAAATGATCTATTGTAAATAATGAATTTTATATTCTATTTCAAATAAATATGACATTTAGAGCAGAAAAGTTTTTAAATTGTTTTTAGTCCTCACCAAGGAGATATTTTTATTGATTTTGGAGAGAGAGAGAGAGAGAAACATAGATTGATTACTTCTCATATGCTCCCCGACCCGGAATTGAACCCATAACCTAAGTTTGTACCCAAGCAGGAATCAAACCTGCAATATTTTGATGCAGGGGACATGCTCCAACCAACTGAGCCACCCAGCCAGGGTTGAAAAGTTTATAATTTTTAATGAACCCATTAGATCTATATTAACTCCCATACAGTACAAATTTTTCACCAAATATAAAAATATATATATCCTCAAAGTAAATGTAAAGTAGTATTTCACTTAAAAGAGTTATGAACAAATTTAGCCATTCAATTGAGCATATCCAAAATTTGAAAGATTTATTTAATTTTCAAGTATAGGTTAAATTTACTATAGAGATTCTATTTTCAGACAAAATAAGGCAATGTTTTGAGCTATTTAATATAACTATGAAAATGCAAATAACCTCAAAATTAATTTTAAAGGTTCTCCCTCTGGAATAAAAAACTCTGAGCTTAACTGATGTAATTATTGTTTGCAGACCTGCTCCATTGGGCTTCTTTGTGAAATATGGAGAATTAGCTGTTTACCTCACCTCTCTCAAAGAACAGATGCCATTTCTACCCAAACATATACAGTGCTCACCTCTGAGACTTTAGTCAGTAGCTTTCCACCTCCAAGGGCTACAAGACTATGGACTATAATGAATACTTATTCGGTTGATCAAGGTAAGTAGATGAGAGAAAGATATGAAGGTGTTTGTATTTGAAAAAAGTTATATATTGAAACTTATTTTTTGACCTATTTCAATTTTTCTAAGATACAATGTATATTGAGAGTGTAAAACTGTCTTAGGCCCCTGGCCTGGGTGGCTCAAGTGGGCATCGTCCTGTGCACCAAGAGTTTGCCTGGTTCAATTCCAGTCAAGAGCACATGCCTGGGTTTTGGGCTCCATTCAGGGTTGGGGCATGCAGGAGGCATCCTATCAAAATTGTGCTCTCACATCGATATTTTTCTCTCTATTCCTCTCTCTCTAAGAATCAATAAACTATTAAAAAATTGTCTTAGAATTCTTGTTGGTTATGTACCATGTTTGAAGTTTTATTTTAAGAATATTGATGTACTTTGCTAATAAATGCTTTCTCTAAAAGAGTGAAAACAATCTTTATTAATAGTCTTAATCCTGAAATGTAAATTTGGGTAGATAACTAGACACCCCTAACCTCAGCTCATTTTGTTTTAACTGTCAGTAAAACTTATTTAAAACTATTTTTTTTACTATTTTCCTCATTGTCTTTACTTAATAATGTCCTTTAAAAATTATATGTAAATTTATATCCCTATCAAGTTATTGAAAAAACACTCAGATTTTTAAAGATCTGTTTTTTCTTTTTTGTGAAGTATTTTGATAACTTATATTTTTATATGTCATTATTTAATTTACTAAAAGCATGATGCCATATTTTAAACATATATTGTATGTTAAATTCTACATTCATTTCTCATGTAGTCAGTTACTCAAGACAATCAGAATAAGAATTATAGCCCTTAACAAGATATTCATTGTTTAAAGAAAATATTTTTTGAAGGCTCATATTATAGGCAGAAAGGTAGACTCCTTTGTGTGTCTTTTTTGTCTATATAAATTTCTGTTTTTTAAAAGAATTAATTTGAAATATAATATGATCGAAAATGCAGAATGGTGTACCTATTTAGAAAGCAAAATGATGTTTTCTAACATTCCTACCCCAACAGGTCAAATAGTAATAATCACTGATTCTATCAATGACAGAGTTGTAAATTTTCATGTTTTATCATTCAAAGGAGTCAATTAGTTTGTAATATGTCCATTTAGCCTATACCATTTGCTCTGACTTTGACCCTCCCATGGAGTGGGAATCAAAAGAGTCTTTGCATTTATGCAGGTTATGTGGTCGCTAAGCTTTCTCATACACCATTACATGCAATATGGTTTACAGAGCCAAATTTGTCTGTATATAAGATTTGTGATGGCAGTGTAATTTGCAGAAGAGTCAGCCCAGGGCCAGAGTTGTTCATATTTAATTCACTTTTTATTCTTTCTTTCTTTTCTTTTTCTTTTTTTTTTTAATGTGGCTTTTTCTTCTCTGAAGGTTTAACAGAGACAGACATTTTCAAGCCTGATGTTCTCTCAGCCACCGGTTTGTCAGCATTTAGTATTGGCATATCCTCCGAAAGCCGTTTACTGGAAGAACTGGTTTCTACTAGACAGCTTTCAGCAAAACACAGTCTTACATCTTCCACAGATGTTTCTTCTTCTCAATTCCTGAATTTTGTCCGGAGCGCGACGTCTGTATCACATACGCCTATCCAAACTTCAGCTGTCACACCAGGATTCTTTTCCTTCAGTAGGAGAGAGAGGGCCTCATTTATCATCTCTTCCTTAACAACTGATTTTATTTTTCCTACGCAATCTGTATTATTTGACAATGATCAGACTGTTGCCTTATCTGCTACTACAATGAGTTCAGTAATTAGTAACATTCCAGGGGCAGAGACTGAGTTAAAAAGGCACTCATTACTCTCCTCTGGATTCCTGCTCACAACTGCTTCTATGAGCACACCTCCAATTGTTTCTAGAGGGGCTCAAGAGGATACTGAAGAATATTCAGCTGTTTCCTTAATTTCAAAAAGAGAGTGCTGGAGATTGCGGAGCTCCTCAATGTCTCCCATTTCTGCCGCTAAGATAATTATATCTAAACAGGTAGCCATCCTAAACTCATCAACTCTGCACAGAGTCACTACACAAGCCTCCATTCACAGTGAATATCAGATTATTACTGAAGCATCCAGCAACCGGAGACTCACAAACACCAAATCACAGACTGCTGATTCTTTAAGTGGATTAAGCCAAACATGTGCAACATGTTCTATGACTGACATAAAATCCTCTCGTAAATTCTCAGACCAAGTTTTGCATAGCAAACAGTCCCACTTTTATGAGACATTCGGGATGAACTCAGCGATATTAGCCAGCTGGTGTGCACTAATGGGAACACAAACTATCATTTCTGGGCATTCGTTTTCTTCCGCTACTGAAATAACGCCATCAGCGGCATTCACAGAACTGTCATCTTTATTTCCTTCTAAAAAGAGTACAAAAGAAACAATTTTATCCTCATCCTTGGAGGAATCCATTACCCTATCGTGTAATTTGGATGTTAATTTATGTTTGGATGAGACTTCTTCATCTATTGTCCCTTCACAAACTATCTCTTTAGACCTGATGAATTCTGGTTTGTCTTCAAAACTGATCACTGATGATCCGTTAATATCAAGAAACATTTTTAAAATATTGAAAATAAGACAATATGGTATAACTGAGGAGCCCACTGAGGCACTGAATCAAGACAATTTACTGAGCATACAGGAGAGTAAAGGATCTCAAAAACAGTTCAAATTTTATAAGAGTGATAGTACTCTGGATTTTGAGTTAAACCCTCCACCACACACAGACTCAATGTCTGATAGTTCAGAAGCAAGCTCTAATGTTGCGCTATATACCATTTCACCAACTCAATCACTTCCGATACAGACTTCTTTTCCCATGTCTACATTTATGTCCGATTGGACATATGATACAGCGTATCTGACTTTAACATCTAATTTAAAAGAAGAGTTCAGAACTTCTTCAGAGTGGTCCCCATGGGAACTTCAACCCAGTGTGCATGAATGGGAATCTGCTGCTTCAGGCCAGAGGCTTCCCATCACTACATCTCTTCCTTTGTCTTCACTGGAGTCCATTTCGGCACCTCATCAGCTGATGATTTCTGGTGAGTTTCTCAGTTTCAGTTCAATAAACTTTTAGAAACGAGTTTCTTTTCTACAGAGAAGAAAGAGCCTGCTGTAGTCACCAGGCGCCCTAAACAGCTTCTTTGTAATCAGGGCAGCAGCCAGTCAATGAAGATGGCACCTGCTGTTGTACCTGACACAGATGGTTATTCTGTATGCACTGCCACAAAGGCCGCCAGATCGACAGGGGAGTGTGGGAGACTGCCACGCTGCTGGCAAACAGTCAGACTGAGCCCGTTCAATTCATTACAATGGATCTTTCAAAGTTTAAGTATAACTTTCCTTATTCTCATTTCTTAAAATAGCTTCTGTGTCAGGTTGAATGCAATATAACACACTTCCTAGCATTTTTTGTCAGTACCGGTATTTTCTTTTCTTTTCAATGGGAAAGATGAAGAAATTAAGGGAACTTTGTTGGGTTGTCCCATCCTACATGGCATGGTTTATCATCTCTTTTTTTTTTTTTTTTTTTTTTTAATGAATTTTTATTTATTTTTTTGTTACAGATATTTTACCTTTTTACCCCATTGGCACCCCCCACCCTACCCCCCCTCCACCCTGTCCCCGGCTTAGTTGTCCATGTCCATTGGTCATGCATACATGCATATAAGTTCTGTGGTTTATCTCTTCCCACCCCCCCACCCTCCATCCCCTCTTCTGAGGGATGTCAGTCTGTGCCCTACTTCCATGTGTCTGGGTCTACTGTATTCCTCAGACTGTTATGTTCATTATATTCCGTATATAAGTGAGATCATGTGGTATTTGTCTTTTTCTGCTTGGCTTCTTTCACTTAGGATAATACTTTCCAGGTCCCTCCATGTGGTCTCAAAGGATAAGAGATCTTTCTTTCTTACCGCTGCATAGTACTCCATTGTGTATATGTACCACAGCTTTTTTATCCATTCGTCTACTGGTGGACACTTGGGCTGTTTCCAGATCTTAGCTATTGTAAATAGTGCTGCTATGAACATGGGGGTACATATATTCTTCCTGATTGGTGTTTCAGGCTTCTTAGGGAATATTCCCAGCAGTGGTATCACTGGGTCAAATGGAAGTTCAATTTTTAATTTTTTGAGGTAGCACCATATTGTTTTCCATAGCGGCTGCACCAGTCTGCATTCCCACCAGCAGTGTATTAGAGTCCCCTTTTCTCCACACCCTTGCCAACACTTGTTGTTTGATGATTTGTTGATGGCGGCCATTCTGACAGGTGTGAGGTGATACCTCATTGTTGTTTTAATTTGCATCTCTCTGATGATTAGTGATGTTGAGCATTTCTTCATATGTCTCTTGGCCATTTGTATGTCCTGTTTGGAGAGGTGTCTATTCAGCTCCTCTGCCCATTTTTTAATTGGGTTCTTTGTCTTCCTTTTGTGGAGTTGTATGAGCACTCTATATATATTGGAAATTAACCCCTTATCTGATACATCATTGGCAATGATGTTCTCCCATACAGTGGGTTGCCTTTCCATTTTGATGATTGTTTCTTTTGCTGTGCAGAAGCTTTTTAGTTTGATGTAGTCCCATGTGTTCATTTTCTCCTTTATTTCTGTTGCCTTAGGTGATGTATCAGTGAAAATTCTGCTCCGTATGATGTCCGAAATTTTGTTGCCTACATTTTCTTCTAGAATTTTTATGGATTCACGGGTCACATTTAAGTCTTTTATCCATTTTGAGTTTATTTTGGTGTATGGTGTAAGTTGATGGTCTAGTTTCATATTTTTGCATGTAGCTGTCCAATTTTCCCAACACCATTTATTAAAGAGGCTGTCTTTACTCCACTGTATGCTCTTGCCACCTTTGTCAAATATTAATTGAGCGTATTGCCTTGGGTCCATTTCTGGGTTTTCAGTTCTGTTCCACTGGTCTATATGCCTGTTCTTGTGCCAGTACCAGGCTGTTTTGGTTACAGATACTTTGTAGTATAACCTGATATCTGGTATTGTGATCCCACCTACTTTGTTCTTCTTTTTCAATATTGCTGTGGCTATTCGGGGTCTTTTTTGGTTCCATATGAACTTTTGAAGTATTTGTTCTAGTTCTATGAAATATGTCGTTGGTATTTTGATGGGGATTGCATTGAATCTATAGATTGCTTTGGGTAGTATGGACATCTTAATTATGTTAATTCTTCCAATCCATGAGCAGGGTATGTGCTTCCACTTTTTTATATCTTCCTCTATTTCTTTTTTCAATGACCTGTAGTTTTCTGCAAATAGGTCCTTTACTTCTTTGGTTAAGTTTATTCCTAGGTATCGTAATTTTTTTGGCGCGATGGTAAATGGGATTGTTTTTTCAGTTTCTCTTTCTGTGAGTTCATCATTGATGTACAAGAATGCCGTCGATTTCTTGACGTTAATTTTGTATCCTGCTACTTTGCCAAATTCATTTATTAAGTTTAGGAGATTTTTGATGGAGTCTTTAGGGTTTTCTATGTACAATATCATGTCATCTGCAAATAAGGACAGTTTCACTTCCTCCTTTCCAATTTGGATCCCTTTTATTTTTTCTTCATGTCTGATTGCTCTGGCTAAGACTTCCAGTACAATGTTAAATAAGAGTGGCGAAAGTGGACATCCCTGTCTTGTTCCTGTTCTTAATGGAAATGTTTTTAGTTTCTGTTCATTGAGTATGATGTTGGCTGTAGGTCTTTCATATATGGCCTTTATTATGTCGAGATATGAACCCTCTATTCCTACATTGCTGAGCGTTTTTATTAGAAATGGATGCTGGATTTTGTTGAATGCTTTTTCAGCATCTATTGATATGATCATGTGGTTTTTATTCTTCATTTTGTTTATGTGGTGTATCACGTTTATTGATTTGCGAATATTGTACCAGCCTTGCATCCCTGGAATGAATCCCACTTGGTCATGGTGAATAATTTTTTTGATGTATTTCTGGATCCGATTTGCTAATATTTTGTTCAGGATTTTGGCGTCTATTTTTCATCAGGGATATTGGCCTGTAGTTTTCTTTCTTCGTAGTGTCTTTTTCTGGTTTTGGAATTAGAATTATGCTGGCCTCATAGAATGTGTTTGGAAGTCTTCCTTCTTCTTGAATTTTTTGAAATAGTTTGAGGAGAATGGGTGTTAGTTCTTTTTTGAATGTTCGGTAAAACTCCCCCGTGAAGCCATCTGGGCCTGGGCTTTTGTTTGCTGGGAGAGTCTTGATTACCTCTTCAATTTCCTTACTTGTTATGGTCTGTTCAAGTTTTCTATCTCTTCTGGGAATAGTTTTGGGAGACTGTGTGTTTCTAGAAATTTGTCCATTACGCTTAGATTGTCGAATTTGTTGCCATATAGTTGTTCATAGTAGTTGTTAACGATCTTTTGTATTTCCGTGGTGTTGGTTGTTACTTCTCCTCTTTCATTTCTGATTTTGTGTATTTGGGTTCTCTCTCTTTGTTTCTTGGTGAGTCTAGCTAAGGGTCCATCAATCTTGTTTATCTTTTCAAAAAACCAGCTCTTTGTTTCATTGATCCTTTGAATTGTTTTTTTGGTCTCTATGTCATTTATTTCTGCTCTGATCTTTACTATTTCCTTCCTTCTACTTGCTCTGGGGTTTTCTTTTTGTTTGCTTTCTAATTCTTTAAGTTGTGAGGTTAGACAGTCAATTAGAAATTTTTCTTCTTTTTTGAGGTAGGCCTGTAGTGCTATGAACTTCCCTCTCAGAACTGCTTTCGCTGCATCCCATAGATTCTGTGTTGTTGTATGTTCATTTTCATTGGTTTCCAGGAAGTTTTTAATTTCTTCCTTGATCTCCTCGGTGACCCATTCATTGTTTAATAACATGCTATTTAGCCTCCATGTGTTGAGATGTCCTTGCATGTTCTTGTTGCAATTGACTTCTAGTTTCATGCCATTGTGATCTGAGAAGATGCTTAATATGATTTCAATCTTCTTGAACTTGTAGAGATTTAGTTTGTGTCCTATCATGTGGTCTATCTTTGAGAATGTCCCATGTGCACTTGAGAAGAATGTGTATTCTGTAGTTTTGGGGTGTAATTCTCTGTAGATATCTATTAAATCCATTTGGTCTAGTGCTTCATTTAGAGTCTCTGTTTCCTTGCTAATTTTTTGCCTAGAGGATCTATCCAGTGCTGTCAACGGGGTGTTGAAGTCCCCTGCTATGATTGTATTGTTGTCGATTTCTCCTTGGAATACCTCCAGAAGATTTTTAATATATTTTGGTGCTCCTCTATTGGGTGCATATATGTTTATCAAGGTTATATCTTCCTGTTGGATAGATCCTTTCAATATTATGTAGTGGCCGTCTTTGTCTCTAGTTATGGTCTTCATTTTGAAATCTATTTGATCAGATATGAGAATTGCTACCCCAGCTTTTTTTTGCTTTCCATTTGCTTGGAAAATTTTTTTCCATCCCTTCACTTTCAACCTATGTGAGTCTTTTGTTGTGAGGTGGGTCTCTTGTAAACAACATATAGATGAGTCATGCTTTCTTATCCAATCAGCTACTCTGTGTCTCTTTATGGGAGCATTCAATCCATTAACGTTTAAGGTGATTATTGATATGTACTTATTTATTGCCATTTTTGTTTAGTGTGGTTCTATTTTTCTTCCCATTTCTACTGCTAATTACAGCAGCCCTTTTAACATTTCTTGCAGTGCTGGTTTGGTGCTAATGTATTCCCTTAGCCTTTTTTTGTCTGGGAAGCTCTTTATTTGATCTTCTATTTTGAATGATAGCCTTGCTGGGTAGAGTAGTCTTGGATTCAGATTCTTGTTTTTCATGACTTTGATTACTTCATGCCATTCTCTTCTGGCCTGTAGTGTTTCTTGTGAGAAGTCAGCTGAGAGCCATATGGGGTTCCCTTTGTAGGTAACCTGTTGTTTCTCTCTTGCTGCTTTTAGGATTCTCTCTTTGTCTTTAATTTGTGGCATTTTAATTACTATGTGTCTTGGTGTGGGCCTGTTTGGGTTCTTCTTACTTGGGACTCTCTGTGCTTCTTGAACTTGAA